CAGAGAACTCAGTGGGCCCTAGTTCCCCTTTCTCACAAGAATCTTCCCTCCCCAGGTAAAGAAAAGGGAAACTCCTTGCTTCAGATGCTGATACAGAATTGGAGGACATAGAAATTTTTGGCCCAGCTGCTGAGAACACCTCAGACATACTCAAGGACCTTAACCTGTGCTCCAGAAACCTGGAAGATGATAAGGATGATAACAATATGACAATAGAATTGCACCTTGGAAAAATTTACCTCATCCTTCAGCATAATCTGCCCACCATACTTGCATTTCCAGGAAAGGCTTGTGACCTGATTTGCTGGTATCAGTGGAAGATAATTCATGCTGGAGAACTTGTGTGGCTGTGTGGACTGGTTTTCCTCTGCCATTTTCAGTGGGATGCAAGAAAGACATGAAAAGCAAATGGATGGAAGGATCCTGGTTTATATCCTCCAGTTTTGCATCCTTTGATTATGATCCCTGTGTGGGGCACTTGGTATGGCCCCATTGTCTATAGGGATATATTCCAAGTTTTCTTCAGATAATCCTACCACTTATATTATCATTCAGCATGCCATGGTGTTAGCCCTATGGGGTAGTCCAGACAAGAAGTATAACCAGGAGTACTAACTCTATCTTTATGGTAAGATTGCATTAACAGACTCTTGCCAGAATGAAAGTATTTCTCCCCTCCTTTCTTTTTCCTTGCCAGAAAACTAGGGAGGATCTTTTCTGAAATGTTTCCCATGCCCTCCATCCATCTGTGGGCTGCCTTTAACACTGGTTGTCCAGTCTGTGGCTTTCCCTCTCTCCGAAGGTCATTCCCACATACCATTGTGTATGGCCATCTTCATCCCTTTGAGGTGTTCTGATCTAAAGAAGGGTCAAGAGAACTTAGCCCAGGCTCAGTCCTGATGTAGAGAACTCATCCCAATTTGTAAACAAAACAGAATATGACAAATGCTTCATACCCCCCTTTTTGCAATGTCCTTTCTTTTGAAATAAACTCCAATCTATGCTCTACATGTGACACTACTTCACCCCTTTCACAAAATCTTCTCATTTTGTCATTATAGGCATAATACCTATTATTTCTACCATTTAGCACATCCTTGCCCTAAAAAAATCTCCCACATATTGAAATATTCCTCTGAAATGTGTTGCTGGGGTAAAAACACTAGAAACAAGTCTGATTCTTTATTGAGGAAATTATCACCAAGTATACTTGACTAAGTAATACAACTACTGTTATCCAGATAGTTCCCCATTTTACCTATGCAGACACATTCATAAACCTTCAATTTTACATGTAGTGATGCATTTGTCTGAACATTACTGTTTGATTGAAGTCTTGGGGGGGGGGAATCAAACCAGAAGGGGATGTCAGTGAAGTCTAAATGCTGATAAGCCAAGGATTCAAGTTAAGGGTTAGGGTATAAATATCACGTACATCTTAAAACGTCCTACTGTTATTACTTGAAGGAAATTTCTATAAATACTGTCTTAAACATATTTGTGGCTGTGACTAAACTCTGATATGGGAAGAAATTGGTGTGTTGAGAAGCAGCATCAGTAAGTAAAAGAGCGGGTGGCATTTCTACGGATATTTCTGCATTTTCTCTTTGTATAACTTTTATACAAACCTAACAACACTGGCTCTTTCCAAAGGAATCCCTAAGAACAGGATGGTACTGAGCATTCTGTAAGAAATAACAAGCACAACTAAATTTAATGAATGATTGTTAATTGACTTCAATGATTCATCAGAAGTGTATGCCAGATAACCAAATAAGAAAAATCCTTGCTTAACCTAACCTCTTGCATCTATAATCAATTCTTGTTGCAGCCACTGCACTCAGACTGTAACTCTTTTTGTACTGTTTTATTAGTACTGTACAGAAGTGGTACCAGTACTGTATCATCAGCCACAGTCAATATAGATGTTTTAATTGTTTGAACTAGTGTTTCCGAGCAAGGTTTGGTCTAACAAATGGAGAAAAAAATATTTTGGGATTTTTGGCTCAGGTATAAGGAGCCTGGCTTGGCAACACAGATCATTAGCATCAAAGAGATTAAAATTTAGTCCTTGTAAATGCTCTTGCCATTTTGGCTAGAGTTTCTCAGGGAAATAAGCACAATATTCCAAGCAGAATAGCATCAGCATCAAGTTAAAATCAGCATCATATATTTAGAGAAGAGATTGGAAAGAACACATCTGTGTAATGGAAGTCGCTTAGACTTGGCAATGTCCATTTTCACACCAGTCAAATATGGAAAATTGAAGTTTTCCATCATCAGATCTCCATCATTCAGTGAATTTAAATCTTTCATGGAGTTGTTACTTGATCTGATAAAGGAAATAAGGTGGCAATCTTACCTATAGTGGATTTTACCATTTTTTCTGGGAAATGCCTTCCTCAGGTTTGTCAGAATCACATTGGACAGGGTTTTTGTTGGGAATCATATCAGTGTTTGAGTATTTTGAGGCAATTTGATAGCCATGTCCCAAACTGCCTATTCAAGACTGATTAAATGCAGATCAGCTTTATTTAATCACTCTTCAGTCATTCTTTCAAACAAACACACAATTTGCTGGTCTATACATTTTAGTGCTATGAGTTTCTTGCCAGAGGGATACTGGCTGTTTGGAACAATACTTTAACTAAATCCAGAATTTGGGATACATATCAGGCACTTAAGGCAAATCTTTGCCAGTTTTGATTTTTCCATATCTGAATCAAAATGGATAAGTCTGTAAATAATTGAATTTTGATTCTCTCATTCATGTACATCAATACAACAGCCTGCAATATCAAATGAGAATGCAAACAGGACTTGTTCCCAGCTAGGCAATAAGCAGGACAACCAGCCAAAAGCACAAAAATTATTTCTTTTGTTATTGTTGTTGCCCCACAGCTTCTGCTTCTTCCATGTCACAAGCTGCAACTTTTGGGTATCTTTTACTCTACCTAAATAGTCTTCTAATTTACAGTATTTAGCCCACATTTTTACTGGAGTGATAATTTTTTTGTTTGGCTTATACTGCTTCAGATTGTAGCTAGAGGATAGATGCAACAGTCATCCATTTTAAAAAAATGCCCAGAGAAACTAGATGCCATGGCATCAAGGATGTGAAGAATTTCATTAATATAAAACTTGTAGAAATTCTAAGAGTTTCTTCAGCCTACCATTAATTAGAGAGAATTAGAGGAAGCAAAAACAAATCAAGCAACTCCATATGGTATTTGCTCACCTTCTTCAGAATTACCAATGGTATTTTGCTTTGCCTAGGGATATTAATGTATTTTGATAATATCTTTATTTTGTTCTAAGACTGGGAGTATAATTTCTTTAGCTACACTCATTACTAAATTCCATAATCTTGTAGTCCAGATATACTGTTTACTCTTCTACTGGAGTAAACTTACCTTGATGGTCCTTTCTGGGCTAATAAGTAGATTTCAAATAAAACAGAAATTGAAATATGCACTCTTTGATTTTATAGACAATCTTAGAAATACAAGTTATTCTGGAGGCTGGTGCTTTGTAGCACATCAGTTTCGTGCAGACGCATGTACACAATCATATTTCTGGAAAAGTCATATAGGGTGGGACTATAAGAACACAAAGAGAGAAGTGCATAGAGGCAGTATTGGTTTTTAGACCAAAAATATGAAGAGATGCCATAATGTAAATTATATTTCTGCTGATGGTATTTCTGAAACTTCTCACCTTTATGTCAGCATGATTTTGCAGTCATTGGAGGTCTAGATTATGAGTTTTTCTAAGTATTTGTGCTTCATCTATTTACATGTAGTCCTCATTTAGTGACCCAAATGGTACCAGCAGCTGTGTTGTTAAGTGAAGTAGTCACTAAGTTGGAAATCTTGTGACCACAACTGTTCTTTCCTTTTTCTAATCCCCTGCCCTTTGAATGTTCATCCCAGTGCTGGGATAAATCGTAAGAAAATAATTAATGTCTATATTTACATTAATTGGAGAGGAAGAGTAAGCAGGCACACAATGGAGAATCCACAACAAAAGCAATGAGCTGGAATCAGCAACCATGGTGTGCTGTGCAGTGCTAACTGTCTGGTGTATCTCCCATTGTGTGCCTGCTTATGTAATCCCTTTCTCTCCAATCTTTCTCTTCTGTACTTAGGCATAGGAGAGATTGCCTACAGTAATTGCTTGTTTTTCTCTTCACCTCCTTCCCTTCTATGGAATAAGTATATTTAAAATTAAATGACAAACATTAAGTCTTACCATACTTAAAAAAAAATATATTCACTTGGCTAAGGACACTCATCCAACTCTTTGTAACTAATGCATAGTTACACTGGAAGGATTGAAACAAGATTATTTCTATAAACATAAATATTGCTACAAATGGCAACTATATTTCTATTTCATTTTGACTCCCTCCATTAAAAAGCAGTAAAATTTATCACAGGTTATGGTGGCTTTCACTAAGCCACTGCACAGCAGCAAATGCACTGAATTATAGATCTGTTTTCTTGGTCAGAATGGCTAATGGAGGTTTGCTGTTAATCATGACTTGAAGTAACTTGAAGTCTAAGCCTGGTTTTTTCAAACTATGTTCCATGGAATCCTTGAAATATGATGGAATTCTATGAGAAACTTGGGGTAAAAAAAGAAGCCAACACAAATGCATCCAGTTTTTCCATCACTGGAGCTTTGTCTTTTGATCAGGAGTTCCAGCCAACTTCCTTGCTCTGGAAAAAAATTGAAATCACTTGCTATACAGTTTATGGAGGAGGAGAAGGATCTGAGTCACAGCTGCAATTTTCAATAACTCTACATTTACAGCAATATTTGCATATTCTTCCATTGAAGTGTGTGCCACATACCTACTGTGAGGGCTACTTTTGAATAGAGAAGAATGTATGCTTTATCTGTTCATACCATGATACTTAGCAGACAGAATCTAACAGATTGCACAATCCATTTGGAGGCACTTCCCAATAGAAATAAAACACACTTCCACCAACCACAATGGCAAAACCACGTGCTGTTTAATAACATTAACTTGATGAGGTTCTTACATGCCCTTGCAGGCAACGCTCTCTTTTCCTCAATGGCTATTAACCATAACCAGGCATGAAACGCCATATAATTTTTATACCTATAGATATAGTTACACACAGGCACACATATGTGTATGCGTGCACAAAAGATATATGTATATATATATTGAGAGAGAGAGAGAGAATATATATTCTCATAAGTCACATTATCAAAAACATGCACAGAATAGCCAACCAAAAGAAAAAGAAAAAGGTTTAAGCAAAGATGTTTTGGAGTTGGAAGACCAAAGGCAAATCTGGTTTTTTTTTTCCTGCTCAAGTGCCCCAGGACTGAAGGAGGTGAGAGGGTTATTTTTGTAAACCCACTTCTGCTTTTCCTCCCATTCCTTTCCTGGAAAGTCACTGTTCTCAATTAGTCCCATCTTTTAAAGATGGAAAGAAAACTAGTTTTTTCCCTCCCTTCTTCAGAAATTCAGAATTGTGAAAAGTCTTAAGACTGGTCTCTCTTTATAACCTTCCCTGCAGCTAACCATAACCAGTTTAATCTTTTTTTAAAAAAAAAGCCCCAAACCTTTGGTTTCTTTAAACATGCTTCAATTACACTAGCCCACTATTTCTTCTCTTTTATGTAGCTCCTGTATTTATTGTCCTGTGTTCTGCTCTTAAGCTTATGAAGAGCTTTTCTTTTCTTTCTTTCTTTTTTAAAAAAGTCCCTTCTAATTGAAAAATTATTTTTGAGGCTCATTTTCTAGCTTAGAGGATAGGTACACCACTTCATACACAGCACCAAATGAACTGGAGAAATATTTTTTAAAAATATGGTACTATATTCAAAAATGATTTTTGTCTCCCAGACAACATTTTACAGTTCCTAGAAATAACAGTAAATTAACATCCAAACTTATAATTGCCCATACAGATTTTGGAACAAAATTCGGACATCTTTAAGAAAAAAGGAAACAAAAGTGCCATACTGAAGTTTGTATAGTATTGAAATGTCTAAAGAAATACACTACAGCTATGCCTGGAGTAAAAAATGTGGTGGTGGTAGTGGGGGGAACTGAATTACTTAAAATAAACTATGAATTTATTTAAAATACTTTTTCTGCTTGCTTCACTATACCGTAAGCCTCTCAATGTGAATATGCAAGTTTCAGATTATAACTTGGTTTCCCATGATTATAATACTCCTCCATTCAGATAATCATTTGTGCACAGAAAGTGAACATTATATGGAAACCTGGCTCGGAATATCTTACCCCTGATCACCCGCTCTACCAACTGCTGAGAATTATCTTTGCATACAGAAGCATTGAAACCTAGGCTCCCCTCACCTCTGGCAATCAAAAATGGTACCATCTAGAGATACAGCTTTACTATATAGTGAAATCCAGGCCAGAGACCTGAATACACTTGACAGCATCACCCACAAAACAAAATGGGGATGGTTTAAAATGAAAAAGTAGCAACCAGCAGAGCAAATGCAGCTTTTCTACCACTGCTTCGATTATTTCGTCTCCCAATTATCTTGATTCTTGAAAAGCTCAGTCACAGGAAGACAAAATTCAGCAGAACCTACTGAATATATTTTGCTGCCCAAGGTGAGGCATCAGAATTTTATATACTGTATATATAAAATAAAGCAAATGTTTGTGTAAGAGTTTGTTCCAGAGTTAATCCCTTCATTTCTCTCTCTCTCTCTTCTTATGAGCAACAAGTAAATACAGAGAGATAATGACTTGTCACTAGGGGCTACAGTGAAGTAAGCAAAATCCCTGGCATCAGAGCTAATTTAGTGACTTTCAAAAACAATATAAGTCTATCTGCAGTTACATTATCTGCATCTATGTGCCATTTTCTTTATTTGCTAGATGGCTACAACATTTTTAAGTGAAATATGATTAAGAGAATGACTTAATTCTCTTTGAAATATCCAAAGTAGTAATAAATTAAATCACTAGCCATCTTCTCAATCAGTTTTTACAGAATAATTTAATGCATAATATAAATAGATGGATCATAGTTGTTTGCAGAGCCCCAATTTCTCTTGTTTTATTCCTGTCTTATGTAAGAATTATCTTCCATTGTCTGGACTGATTTAAAGCCAGGGTAGTGTAATGGTTAAGGTGCTACAGGATCAAGTTCCAGGCTGGCATTTGTCATAGAAGCTCATGGGGATGACTTGGTCTGGTCGCTTTCTCTCAGTCCCCCCTATCTCACAGAGTTTGGGTGCTATGTCCACTACCATGAGCCTTGAAGGAAAGGGAGGCCATATGTTGCATATATGAATAAATAGATTACTTAAATGGAGAAATGCAAATGGATTAAGAAACAATTCATCAGCAATGGAACAGCAAAGTAGTTCAAAACAGGCAGATTTTAAGCAGGGGAGTCCATCGTGGGGATGGTATGTGTCAAAAAAGTCAAGATGTTAATAATGACCATGTGATTGAAGCCCAGCCACTTGTATATCGCACACATGTACAAAGGGACAGAACTTCAATATCGCGGTCATGATCGCCATCTTGAGTTTTTTGACCACCCTCATCCTCTGGATGTCACTGTTTTAGGCCTACCTAAGGGAGAAAAAGCATTGCTTCTTACAATCCTCTGCATTTCAAGGCTGTATGCAGGAACGTAGGAAAAAAATAATCAAAACAAATGCTTATTTGTGATTTCAACATAACCAAGCTGAAACTTTGAAAATGTTTTCACAACAACCAACTCACTTCCTAATTTATTGGTCTGACCTGAAAATTATATTTTGCTTTAACTGCCCAGGGAACTAGAGAAATCCAAGAGCAAGAATAATGGTGGCCAGAGGGCCACACTATGCTTCTGTCCTGCCCAAGGTTGTGGGCATGAGGTCACCGTGGAATGGGGCTGACATTTTCAGAGCCCATTGGGAGGGTGCTGAAGAGGATAAAATGTCTCCTTTGCCTCTTAAGACTTTTTTTTTTTTTTTAAAGGGAAGATAGACTGATTTGGGTGGCAGGGAATTAAGGCGGCTTCAAAAGGTTGATAATTTTACTTCTGAACTCCTCTGAAACATACAAAAATATTGCTCTTCATGAATGCCTTCCTTTACGGCCTGGAGTGACACAAAGCAAAGCCCTCTCTCACACCCAGACTTTCTAAGCAAGCCTATCTTAACAAGCACCAATAGGTCTTATTGCCAAAAACGTGTTCCTAAAAGGAGGTGGGTAAGTTGGCTGTGGATGATGGAAGCTGAAATCCAATACAGCTGAAAAACACTTGACTAGGCACAGGAACATTCTCCTCAGAACATGTCAGTTTAATTTCTCTAATATAGTTCTTCTCTCTGCTTTGCTGTTTTCCACTTCACTATTATTTATGTATTAAATTTATATAGCCACCCATCTCACTTCCGTGACATTTTAAATGCGTAGGTGTTAATATATGTAACTATTAACCATGTAACCCACTATAATAATGTCTTGGAAAGCAATATATTAATATTTAAGCAAGACACAATTTATATCTGGTTGCCTTTTCTAGAAAAATCCTATTTTCATATTACACCCTAATGATTTTCATATATACCTAGATGTTTCATTCAAGGAGAAAAAAGCAGGATGGAACAGTTAGTTATCCATATTAGCTCAGGTGAGAAATTGAAAAACATGAATGATGCATGTAAGACCTTTAGGCACTGGCTAGGCATGATACAGGAGGCACATAAAGTATCTGATTAACATTCATTTTTTTAAAATGCAGTTGCAAAGCTTTGAATTTTATTTTTAAAAAGTCTTTCCTCAGGAGCTGCTGATTTGCTCAAAAATAGTTCCTACAGCTATTTCTTCCCTCACAAAACTTGTTGGTTTCCCTTTATCAATGGAATAATTCTGTTAGAAATGATTTAAGTGGCTTTCTCACTTAAGAAAATCTTTCTAACAATTGCTGAACTAAATTAAGGGGGAAAATGGAGGACTTAATTGGCCTTCAAAGTTCAAGGACATTTTGTTTTCTTTCATTCCTGGTTAATTCGCTTCCATCTTGAGCAAGCTGCCAGCAAATAGAGCTTGTCACTATGCTTCCCAGTGTTGTGATGCCATCTTTCAGGTCTTCTAGCAGTTAAGAAATGAATAAGGAGAGGGAGTTAAGGCTCAGAGGGAAGGACAAGCAAGGGACACACATTTATGGAATGCTTCCTCCAGGACTCTTTGGCAATCCCTTGGTCACCTGTTCAAAATACTTCTGTAAAACTGCTCAAATATCTTGGAAGAGACCTTGTTAGCATTCATGCCACAACATCAACATTGCAATATTACACCAAAGTGAATTATTTAGTGAATAGTACCAACTACACTATTTGCTAACTATGATTGTACTGCTGCATTCATGCAAAGGAACAGGAAGTGGCAACAGAGGGTTAAAAATGGCTTCAAGGCTTTCCCCCCCCCAAAAAAAAAGTATATCAAGGAAATCCAAGGCCAGATCTTACTTGTTAAAAAAAGATTAGATATTCCTAATGGTTTCATGAATAACCTTCTATAAGATGGTTGTCATTATTCATGTATATAAGCCAGGAATGAGGAACCTAAAGTCTCTATATATGGATCAAAGTGTAACTCCCAGAATTCTTCTGTGGTAGGAGCAGTGGTGAGGACATTGAATATTTCAGGTTCATAACTTCTGAAGAGGGATACATTCCTCAACCTTGGCATAACTCTCCAGGCATCTGCTACATGAGCACAAATCTACATATCCCCTCCAATATTCTTCACTCAGGAATTCACTGCCTATCATTTCAGAGACATTCAAAATAAAAAGCTACACAGTGTATCTGCATTGCATGGTTTCGTTTTGCTTTCATGTTTTAAAGAAGAAACCAAGCAAATAAAAAAGAAAGGCATGCATATTTCAAATATGATGCATGTAACAAATAAGAAATTTCTGAACATGTGAAATCAGTGAGAGTTAATAAATGCAGCCCTCATAGACTAAAAAGGCTTTCCCCCCCCCTTAGCATTCGGTGGTAGAATTCCATTTAGAGCTGAGGTAATAATAATAATAATAAGTTGGAAGGTACTTGAAGGTCATCTAGTCCAACCCCCTGCTCAGGCAGGAAACCCTATACCATTTCAGACATGGCTGTCCAGTCTCTTCTTAAAAACTTCCACTGTTGGAGCATTCACAGCTTCTGGTTAATTGTTCTAACTGTCAGGAAATTTCTTAGTTCTTCAGACACAGGTTGCTGATAAATAACAATAAGGCAGTGGAGTTGGAGAACTAAGACAGCAGACAGAAGCAGGGGGCTGTAACCCTCTCTCAACTGCCCTTTTTTCCCAATGATCCTTCCTGGTTTGTTTTTTTCTCAGTCAGGCTCTAAGCCCAGAAATAAACTTGCCTACAAAGTGGTTAAAAGAAGGTGCAGTATGCTATGCTATCTGCCTGTTTTCTTCTTGAATTTTTTTTTTTTTAAATATCCCCAACTTTCCTAATTGAAGCTTTCTAACTACAGTATGTTCAGAGCTGCAGAACTGCAGAGCTGCCCTGGCATTGGCTGTCCCATCTTTTGATAATAATATTTGCTTTTCAGTTAGCTGGTACTAATGCATTTATATCAGGAATCACTTTGAGCTGTTTCCATTCAGGTCAGTGAACCTGACCTGACTCTGTTTAGCAGCTGAGAGCGCAACATTTGTTGTTAGTTTTGAAGGTATCACACAAAACTATTTTATTGTATGACTAGAGCAATACAGCCATTCTGTATTATTTTGTCCAATAAAATGAGAGCTGCAATCTTTCTGGATTTGGAATGCTACAGAACGGATAACTGAAGCTGAAGGATTTTTTCTCATCTGGGGCCAAGTATAACTTTTTCTCTGCTGATGTACCTGGCTAAGAGCAGAGACATCAGTACACTTAAACAAAGGGAACAACAGGAAAGGTATTTTAAAAGGCAAGATCCTTTTGCAGGGGGTGGAGGGAGAGGAAGGTAAATGGAGTTTCATATCCTGAACAATTCTATTTATTTATAAATCCTCCCCAAGAATTGTACAATTTAAATGAAAATATGGTTATCTTTGTTTGGTAGAACTTTCCAATGATAGTTCTAGAAATCTACAATACAGTTGTGATTCTCTATTCCACTGTACACATTGTTCAGTCATATCCCCAGTTCTTCAAACACAAAATTAGCTTTCTCTTGTTGTTTCTTTACTGAATTCCATGCAATATGATCCTCTCTGGCATCTCTCAGACTGAGAAAAATATAAATCTCTCAAACATTTGTGATATGTGGCATTATTAAATGCATGTTGCTTACATTTTCCTTTAAAAAAAAACGACAGACAATAAAATAAGGTATCTAAACAAGATGAGCCACTTATTATCAAGGTCAGTGAGCGCCAAGATGAAAGCAGGATACATTTACACAGAAACAAATTTACCGTAAACATCCAGGTTTAGTCCTGGTCCTGGATAGGCACATGGAGCAAAATGGTTTGGAGGAAAGGAGAATCAGGCTGCCTGAATCTCCGCCCTCCCCCATCACAATACTGGAAACATCTCAAAGCTTTCTTGGTTATCCTGAAGGCTTGATGATGTTGGAGTTTCAATCGTTCTTGGTTTGCAGAGATGCGCACTCCGCACTCTTCATGGTTCTTCATCATTGCTGGGAGAATCCCCCAAAACTGACTGAAAGCCAGAATGCAGCAATTTAAGAAAAAAAAAAATGCAAGAACATGAGGTGTTGTCCTCATATCCAGCGAAGTTCTGTATCCAACCCTCTTAGCCTTCAGAGGTTGGCACTGTAGCATGTAAACATATTTTAAAAGAGAGGTGGGCTCCCAAAGGCTCAGAGGTTGAGCAGTCTCCCCAACCCAAGGAGCCAGGAAGAGTAAGGAAACAGAGACAAGGAAAAGAAGGATGCCAAAAGGCTTTTCTTTCATGCATTTGCTTTGATTATTTTTGCCTGACTATTTGTCCGTATGATGGAAATGTCCTGAAAGAAGGTGCAGTGAAGGGGAAGACAGAGTTTCTTGGTTGTCGAAATACACGGAGTTCCCCTCAATTCTTCATGAAAAGGGTGGGGGCACTTCAGCTCCCTTTTACTGATGACATCTGGATGCAAAGCTTTTGAACCCAATGTTCTTCCCCTTTCTCTACACAAAGGGGGTAAGATCTGAGTAAGCAAAGCGTTGCTGTGCAATTTACTCTTCAATTTTGTAGCTAGCAGACCCAGAGAAAACGAACTAGTTGCAAGCTACATTGAAATTTCAGGTAAATAGAATGAATGGTGCAGGCATAGAGGAGGAAAAGAGCAGAGAAAATGCAGAGAAAATGTGTGGTGTCTTCTCACCACACAATGTTGGGTCACCTTTTATGGCAGTGTCCTTATTTCTGCCACTTTAATGATGACCACAATTTTCTTTTATTGATTCTGGCCATTTTTTTATATTATTATTTTCTTCCATAGTTTGTTTCTGACAAACAATGGTGAAAGAACACAGTATTAAAAACTAGATTTCATAATGCTAATTTCCATTTGTCTGCCAAGACAAACCAATAATTGAGAAAAAGAGATAACTTGAGATCAAACTCTATGGGCCACAAGACTTAGCATTCACTCCCCCCAAAAATCCCTTTATCAAATAAAAATGGGAAGAATGTGCCGCCTAGTATTTTCTTACTTTTGACTGAGCTAGGCATTACAAATATTTCTCAACAGAACAAAAAATCCTACCGGGAAAATTAATGCAAACAGTAGAGAATTACTCTTGGCCCACTTTCAATTTTGCAATCTTTTCAGAAGAACTTGCAAGCCTAGGAAAGGAGTATTACCTTTCACTAGATGGCACTAGGCCATTCCCTCTGATGGCCAAAAAACTGTTACAACGTAAACATTTGGGAGAAAAATAGACGAAAACTAAGTCAATAGTTAAGTTGTGGTATGTGTTTGCTTTTGTTTCTTTGTCTTGTCTTCCCTTCATACAATGGAAAGACTGAACTTCAGGTCTGCATAAATTATAAGATAGACAGATGACCCCTGCTCCCTTTTCCCTACCCTACATGCAGTGCTCAGTAATAAATAGAGGGGGAAAACTCTCTCCAGGCCCCAGAAAGGCAAAGTTAACAGAGGGTGGGTGCATAAAGAGACTTTCAGCGGCAATGCATGCACACGTGCTGAAGAATGAGGTTTGAACTAGACTCAAGAGTACCTCAGTTTTATCACGGAATAGTCACTACCCCTAAAGTCCCACAGTCTGGATCCATGCCCTCCACTTCATGGTCCTCTAGGCCTCGAGTGAAAGCTTCTCTCCAAATAGCACCTCACTTCCATAAGTAGAATTCTTGATGAGGCCTGACTTCTTTTGTTGCAAAGTTATCTAAGAAGCATCCCTCTCTCCCTATCATTGTTCCACCAGGTTCCAAGAGGCAGAGCGAAGCAGCGTTTTCTCAAGAGGCTGTGTTAATCGAACCAGCCTCACAAAACCACTCTTGATAACCAGCATAACTTGTTCCCACTGTTTGCAATGTGCACATGAGGCTACTATCTTGCATTCCCTGAGCTTTCTGGGCAGTAAGTCCTAAAGGTTCAGCCTAACGTGTGCAGGAGGGGAGGGGGAGTGAGCAACGCCCAGCACTTTGGTCCTTGGCTTACCTTTCCATAAATCTAAGGATAAACAAGTGTGCTGTGGGGAACTGGGGGAGCCTGGGGAATTGAGATAGGAGGAACTGAGGGGCTGGAGAGGGGCTTCCCTGACAGTTTCCCCACCCGTGTTTCCCATGCATATTGTCAAAGGTTTTTCAACAGCCAGCATTAGTTATTGGTTTCACCTTCTTCCTCATCAAAGGACTGAACTCCAGATGATGTAACATCAGAAACTTTGCGGCTAAGGGCAGCAGGCTCTGCCTCCTCTCTGGGTGAAAGAGACTCCAGATCCCGGCATACAACATCGTCCTCTTCTGGAGAAGGTTTCTTGTTCAACAGGGGTGCTTTCTCCAGCACGGGGTTCCCTTCCTCTTCTGCGTGAACTCCCACGAGAGTGCTGGATTCAGCATTACCCCCGTTACCAGGGCTATCCTCACCGCTAGGAGTTGTCTGAGCTGGCCATACCTCTGCAAGTCCAGTATTTTGCAACACAGCCTGTTGCACTTGCTGGTGTTGTTGTAGCTGTTGCTGTTGTTGTAGCTGCTGTTGCTGCTGTTGCATTTGCAACAGTTGGTGCTGCTGGATAAGGTTGTTCTGGATTAAAACACTTTCCTGCAGGTTAGACTGGCACTCCTCAAAGTTCTGGCCGAGGTAAGAGCCAGCAGCTGGGGACGCAATGAGGGACTGATCACTGGCTTCCCAAGCATCAGATGAACCCAGGCAGTACATGCCTTGTGAGACGTAAGAGTGAGGCCAGCTGTCATACTGCACCTGGGCCAGGTGTTCTGTACAGAAGGTAGAAAGAGAACAATAAAAACCAAGAGAGAGGTGAAAGGCAGAAGTGAAGAAGACATAGGAAAGGCACAAGCAACAAGATTTTTGTGGCAGGAAGGCAAGCTTGCTTAGCAGTTCCCTGGGGAGGTTGTGAGAGGACACCATTTACAATGAACGTAACTTAAAATTACACAGCTGTTAAGACTCTTGGAATCTCACAGCTGTGAAGATGCGTTCATGATTTATACCATTTTTATTAATCCAATGTACAGATAAAGTGAATATGGATTGAGAATACATATTTATGTTAGATATCTATGAGATGTACAGTAGATGCTTGGATTTTGTGCTACAGGGAGCTGCTGAGAATGTTTTCAGACACTTTTTTTCAGTGATCTGAAACAAGACTAAAAGATCTAAGACAGGAAACAGATCTGACTATCAAAGAGGAGGCAGGTTTTTTTTTTTTTTAAAAAAAAAGAATTTTTGTGGCAAAACTGGTACTTACTTTGCCATTTTACTTTGCCATTTATGTTTTCTACAAGCCTCCCCACCAAAATAAGAAAAACACCTTTTGCTATTTCAAAAAGCTGTTTTTGAACAGTGTATTTCAGTAACTTCGCTTTCACTTGCCATTCCATCTATTTAGTTTCTTGATATCATTTCACCCTCTGCTGATAAAGGAGCCACTACACTTTGCTGGGATAGGGGAGGAATTAGTTTAGCTATTACTAAAATTCTTTGCCCCTGAAATTTGATCAGCTCTTTATCAGATTTTTAAAAAATTATTTGAAAAACAATGGTTTATAAGGGTCTTTGATACTTAAATGACAGTTTTTTTCTTTGCTTTTTGTTTATTCTTTCTACGATTTTTGTTTTATGTTTTTATGGGTTTATGGTTTTTTTTATTTACTATGTATTATATGGGCATTTTAATTCAGATAGTTTTTGACCTATGACTGAACTTCCATGGCTAAGCAATGAGGTCATTCAGTATGTGTTTGATTTTGCAATCTTTTTTGCTGCAAGGGATTAAGGGATCCATCTTCACCACCTTACTTTGCTTGTTAGAAGACCCCCGGGATGGGCAGAAACGGCAATCACATGACCCCAGATGGTGCCACCATCATAAATGCATGCCTGTTTTTTTTTTTGTTTCAGACTTTACCAATACTTGCAACCGATACTCCATTTAAACAATGGCAGATGAATATTTCAAAGTTTATATGACAAGGGAAAAAAACCAGGAATTAGATGTAAACTACTGTAAGATGTTAAGGAAAGAGGGAGTTTGGGTTTACTAAATTTGAAACTGTATTTCGATGCCTGTTGTTTGAGCTGGCTAAAAGAGTGGGTGAACCTCCAGAATAAGAGGCTACTTGATTTAGAAGGTCATGAATTAATGTTTGGATGGCATAGTTATTTATGGTATGACAAGGTTAAGTAAATGTTGATTTTTAACAACCACTTTGTTAGATGTGCCATTCTAAGAGTTTGGAATAAATATAAAATAAGATTTTCTATGGAGCATGCCCATTTGGGTGTCCCCTCAGAAAGCTTTTTTTCAAAAAAGAAATGGTGGCAAAACTGGACTGGTGGAACTTATTGTAAAATAATTTCTTTTAATTTTGGTCATCCTACCCTCAAGTCTAAGGAAGGGCTGGAATCAGAAAGAAGTGTCTGCCATTGGTTTACATATTTACAATTGAAATAAAGATTTAAATGAGACAAAAAGAGTTATGGGTTTGACTTTGTTAAAAATGAATTGGTAATGATGAATATATTATTGCTAAGATTTATAAAGCATTATTGTATTTGAATTTGGAAAGTGAATATGTAAAGCATTGTATGATTCAGTGGGCAAGGAATTTTGGATATAATGTAAAGTTTGAACAATGGGAGAATATGTAGACAAAAAGTTTAAAATTTACACTAAATTACAATTTAAAAGAAAAATTTTATAAGATGATGTATCATTGGTATTTAACACAAGATAAGCTATCAAGCATATACAAAGATACTTCAAATGAATATTGGAAATGCAAATGTAAAGAAGGGACTTTTTATCATTTATGGTGGTCATGTGATAAAGCAAAGAAATATTGGAGTAGGATTCATATTCTAATACAGAAGATTCTTAAAGTGAATATAAAGGTAAAACTAGAAACTTTTCTTTTGGGTTTAATGGAAAAGATTTGGAAAAAAAATTGGAACTCTGATGTTATATATGTTGGCAGCAGCAAGATTACTTTATGCGCAAAAATGGAAGGACACTTCGATCCCCACAATGGACGAATGGCTGCAAAAGTTGATGGGAGTTACCAGAGATGGATAAATTGACTGCTTTGATAAAAGAAAAAAAGCAATTACTTTTGTTTCTACTTTGAAACTTTGATTTTGGTTTTACTGATTAGATAGATTTGTTGTTATAGAAATGGCTAGTTTATACTATCATGGAAAAGTAAAAAGTTGAAATTTGATGTTATTATCTTATTCTACTGTACCAAAGGGAGTCAGAAGTCAACGCCTTCTCTTTCTTTTTCCCTTCTTTTCTACGCATTTCCCTTCCCTTTTTCCTATTATTCGTTTCTGTATTTTTATATTATAAACTAATAAAAAGGGCAACTCAAAAAACAAAAAATAAATAATAACAATAAAAAAAAATAAAAAAAAATACATGCCTGCTGCCAAGTAACTGAATTCTGAACACATGAACACTGGGATTCTGTGACAATTGTAAGTAAGGATGGGTCATAACTACCCTTTTCTTAGCACCATCACAATGGTTGTTAAACAAATGGTTGTAAGTCAAGGACTACCTATAGCATGACAGTGACCCTCTGAGAGTCTCTTGATAGGGTTAAATAAAACTTAATATATAAATAAATGAATGAATGAAAAATAAAATGTAAAAAAACAATAAAATAAAAAGGATGAATAGAAGCAAGAAAAGATATTAAAAGTGGGCTCATCTGCTTTGTGGTAGAAGTCTTCATATTTATTTATTTATTTATTTATTTATGATACTTATATACTGCTTTAAGTGCAAGCACTCTCTAATGCTACTTATGCTACATAAGGCCTATAAACTGACTAAAGGTGTACATTCCTGGGTCCCATCCTATCCTATTTTTTGTTTTATTCTAAGATAATGCTACTTTTATTCAAAATATTCCTCTTACCTCCTTCGCTTTAACCACCTTTATTAAACTATTCACAGAAGGTTCTTTTTTGTTTTCACAGCATTTTTATTTACTTGATTACTGGAGCACTTTGGGGGTATAGATAAAATTTTTAAAAGCAATATAGTTCATATTTTATAATGGTTTAGCTTGAACTAGCAATTTTCAAGAGAGCAAAGTCACGCACAGTTCTCGGGGAATAAGTTAGAATTTCTTTTTGTGTAATATGATAGGAGTGATATTATGAGATTTGGTTGTGCCTTTAAAATAAGTTAAAGATTCAAGATTCAAAAACTTCTTTTTGTACTATTTTCTAATTATTTATTTCTTCAGCAACAAATAAATAATTAATAATGGTTACAATGTTCCACCTGTTTGTCCTGGGGAAAAAAGGAATGCAAAAGGATATTTTAGCTATCCCCCAGAAATCTCTTTATGGACATATTTGTTAAATGTGGATAATTAATATATGTATTTAAATGTAAACACATATTTGCAAATTTCTTGAACATTATGAATGTACATATCAACTAACTATATGTATACATATACAAACTGAACATATGTTGACTGGAATGTAAGCATGCCTGCTTAATATGGAATAGCTCTACCTTACTTCCAGTAGAAGGGTTCACCATCCCAAATGATCTTCTTCAAATAAATAGCATCTGCTTGTTGACAATTAGTATGTCAGAAGGCTAGGTTTAGTAACTTCCCAGCTTGCTACTGTGAAGGATTTTAAGCCAGTCCGAAGGACATCCATTGAGTTGCATCAGCCCCTATTTGTATTCTGAAGCAACATGGTCTAGACCAGGGGTAGTCAACCTTGGCTCTTTTATAACTCGTGGACTTCAATTCCCAGAATTCCTGAGCCAGCTTAGCTGGCTCGGGAATTCTGGGAGTTGAAGTCCACGAGTCATAAAAGAGCCAAGGTTGCCTATCCCTGGTCTAGACACAAGTTTGACCTAAATTCTACAAAGCTTGAGGCACAGAGACCTCCCAGGTGGTGTTGGCGACAAATAATGAAAGTAGAGGAAATAATATAATACAGAATACAAGCTGTGCCTTAAAGCGTTCCATGATTTAGATAATATTAACTGAATACTGGTTACAATAACCTTCTAACAGCAGCCATTATTAGGGATTTAAGGCTGACAGCAGCTTTCTTAACATTATTTAATGTGTTCGCTGCTGATAAAACATTTAAAACCAGAATTTTCCTGCTTGGTGTTTATCCAATATATTGCTCAAAATAAACAGAAAGTTTATAACAAACAACTAAGACTGGTATGCTTGTCCCAATCAGTATAGCTTTCACCTTCTCTAATTGTTTCATGAAAAGAAGATTACTTGTCTCCCTATATCTCTATGTCCATCTCCTGGAAGCCTAAAGAGAAAATAAATATTCACCTGGATTCTCCATCATCTCTTGATAGTTTTCATTGTAGTTGCCAGCTTGGTTTTCCTGGTTGGAATTGACACTTACATCCTCACCATCCATGGAAGACCAGGCCATCAGAGTGGCTTCTGAGATAGCAAACTGTTGCATCACCCCTAAATTACCAAAAGACAGAAAAGAGTCAACGTCGTTCCTTTCTTCCACCTGCCAATAGCCAAAGACATCTGGTGCTTCACTGTCTTTCTTTTCACTGTCTCATTGTCCAATATCCTGACCAATATCCTGTCTCCAAATTCCAATCTGAATCCTGAAATTTTATATTTTGAATGGACAATCTTGTATCAGAATGGCTGTCTCATGCATATAAATACATAGTCAATGGCACAGGAATAAATCCCACCTTTAAAGCATTAGCAAAGTTTGGAAGTTGCTAAAAATATGGAATAGGAGTTGTATAGTAAAAGTATATATGATGTTGGAGTCAGAAATACAATCTATAATATTTGAGGGGGGAAAAGTAATTCAGCATAGAGACGTTTTCAATTGAAATCTTTATTTGTTTTATTTGAACCAGGGTAATAAGACAGTGAATCTTATTTATATTGAGAGATTTGAAGGGATCCAGATCCACTCCAGAATAAGCATATCTCCTCTAAGATAACGCTTGGATTATTTTCACACTTCTTCAAATGTAAGAGGAACAGATCAGAAATTGTTATAGCCAGTATCTGAATAGTCTCAATCCATCTATGCAATATTCCAAATAAATAGATTTGAATTTTGATTCTAATGTAATAATAACAACTGCCTAATCCAGGTCTTTGGGAAGGACTCAACAGATGGGCAACAATGCCAAATCCAGTCTAAACATCTGGCTGAATGTGAAAGGAATCATAATAAATTTAGAAGAATTATTCTGTATCCCATTTATCCTCCTCCTCTTTTTCTACCTAGAGCTATTTGCATACAGAGAAGTGGTTGCATACCTGCAAGGAATCGGGCCTCTTTTTCTCCATCACTCAGGTCAGAGTAAGCATCTGCATCCTTGCGTACTGTCTCATGAGTATGTTGCTGCTGTTGGTTGCTGCCAGCCCTGCCCCAGCCCTGCCACTCAATCATGTGTGCAACACGACCCTGCCCCATGGCAGTGGGCTTGGTAACGTGATCCTTCATGCTGCGGGATATTCCTAAGGCGCCAGATGTTAATAAAATAAAGAGGGGCTATTATACAGCACCAGAGCAATCTGTCATGGCAACCTAGGACAAGTCTACTTTGTTCTCTCTTCCTGTCCCAACATAATAGCTCTACTGTTACCGGAGACTCCCCATAAAGGTTAAAAAAAAAAAGCGCCATGGAACTCCAAAACTGAATTGCTTTGCCATCTTTTTATCTGAACAATACAATTATTTGTCATTGCAGAGGAGAATCTGGGCTCAACAGCAAGAGGCTAATTGGAGCCACAATATAACAATATGTATAATGAATTATAAACAGCCAACAAAATATGATAATAAATGTGCATAAGCAATATGCTTTCTTTAAAAAAAAATGCTGTGGGGAGCAAAATCAGGACTGCAGAGCTCAGGAATTAACACTCATGGCTCTCCTAGAAATAGTCTTCTATCCTCACCCAATTCATGTATTTTATAAATTTGCTCTATGCCTGCAGAGAGAAATTTTGCATTGGTACTTATGGTAGCTTTTCTCCTGATGCACACAAGAGCAGATCTGGAGTGGGTCTTTGGCTGCAGCAGAGCAGGAGAGAGAAAGTGATGAACTTACATGTGTATCTAGTTTGATCCTAAAACACTTGAAAAGAGGGTCATTGACATTGCCTAATGGCAGCTGCAGACTTTAATGAGACGTACAACAAAACTGATCTATGTATTACATAAAGAAATATCTTAATTGTTATTAATACTCTTTCAAAAGACAGTGTTGATTTTAGCTGTCTATTCCCCAACCTTTGCTCTTTATGGGACAATTTTTCTACCTACAAATCAAAAAATTTATAGTAATTATAGTAGGCAACAATATGAAATTACATAATTTAATGTTCATTCATCAAAAATTAAATGTACTGATTGTAATGTATTGATTGTTAATAAAAACAGATTTGTCTATTTTCAGAATGTTTTCAACCATGAAAGATTAATGTTAATTAATTCTGGCACTTGTTTCTTTTCCTAGTTATGACTAAGGTTTTCAAAAGCTTTAAACAGATTTATAGAACTTCTTTAATTCTGTGAATCTTTGGTATAATTCTTTCCTTTTTCTCTACTATGAGTGAGTTGAATAGCCAATTCTATTATTTAAAATGCTTTTAATGACAGAATACTCCCCAAGGCTTCTTATATAATAAAATCACATGGAATAAATACATAGATAATGAAATAGTAAATACCAATAAAAGGCAAAAATCACAGCATCAAAATAATAAAAACTATGTATGTGGTAATAAAGCATGAAGCCTTAGAAAAGCATTACCAATTGAATGTCAAGAGAAGAAAGGATACATCACTCCACACACATGAACTCTTTATTGTAGTGGGGGGGGGAGATTTTTTTTTTTTTTTTTGCATTAGTAAAATAGACCTTGTTCTGGAATATGAGAAAAGTAATAATGTTGTCCGTTTTTTATTTTTACCTCAGACAATAGCAGATTCTTGTTATGTACTCAACAACACCCACCTCCTCCAACATAGAAATGCGAAGGAGTAACGAACCAATTCCGAGACAAATGTTTCTTTTTACCCCCGTTGTTTCATAAAGATTTGAAGTTAGGACAAAAAGTGGATAAAACCCAGGTTAGTAAGAAGTACAAGAATTTCAGATTCTCAGGTTTGAGATCCTCACCAGATAGAGATGACTTAGCCAGAGCTCCAATCCCATAGGCATTTGAGTTTCGTTTCAGTTTGGGAAGAATTGAGGTTGTATCTTCCATGGATAGCTGAAAACAAGTCATACCAAGAAATAAAACATGAAATAGAGGAAAGGAGCAGAAGGTATTCTGATCTGAGTTTCTAAGAAAACAAGAAATATAAATCTAAAATAGAAGGAAGAAAGAAGAAAAAACAACAGTGACTGCAGAAATCTTACATGACGCTTTGACAGGTAAAAAAGTTTCTAAGGCAAGTATTAGTTTTACATCAGCTCTAATAAGCTAAAGTTACATTTGGTATCTGGCTGGCATGTGTTTTGCCAGCAATTTATGATATATTATATGAGAAGGTTAAAAGGCTGAAAATAAATAAAACTCAAGGTAAGCCTGTTGTGTATGTAAAGCTCCCATAACATAACAACTTCTAACATAATACAGCATCACTGTGGCAGCAGATTATAAATTTAGACAGGCTTACAGTATGTCACAGCGATAGCTGTATAATGTTGTAAATTGATAGTCTAAGTGGGTAGAGAAGAATAAGAGTGGATTATTGTTATCTGGATTCAGATAATACAGTGTGGATAAGGCCAGAAAGTGTTTTTCAAAGTGAAGATTTACCCAGCTGCTGTCTTATTTTGGTTCAATATAGAAGCCAGAATGATAAAGGAAAGACTAGATTCCTGGAATTCTGCACAGAAGTCACCACTTCTGCTCTACAGCATGCAATATAGCATACCTCATGTCTTATTACTTTTTTTCTGCCCCTGCTTCTCATCTTTGAATGCTGCACAAAGGAAACACTCAACATTATTGTTGAGGAACATGCTGTAGTCACAAAATGAAAAGAAGAAAAAATATACAGGAATTGTAGCCTTGCTGAAATTGGGTACAGATCCTTCAAAACCACAGATGTGTCAGTTAATTTTCCTTCCATATTATCCATATAAGCTATAAGAATCCATACTCCTGAGCTGCCTCTCCCTTCTTACTGAAAATCCCCTCCCCATACATACACTAGATTAGCCATTTTTCCTGAATTTGCTATTTATTGCAAATGGTATTGTGTAGGGCACAGAAAACCCAAGCACCAGAAAGAAAGTAGATGAAGAACAGTGTTGGTTTGAGGCCTTGTAGCTACTTTACCTTAAAGTAAAAATGGCAGTATTATGCACATATATTGTAAGTTACTCCTAGTATGTCCTACGTACTTGATACTTGTCTGCAGAAAATGGGCTACAAGTCATTGGCCACCTAATAAAAATTGTATTCAGAGCATTGAAGAATAGAAATCTATATTTAGCCATGATCTGCATATTATTGTATGCCTTTGAGGAGCTCATTATTGGTTGATCTAAGCAATTTATATGACAGTTAGTGATAAAATTAAATGGATAATTCCCATTTAATTACAATCTCTCCTTAGTAGAAGATATGAGATAGTTATTAAAAGTGTTATTCCTTAAAGAATGTACAGAATGCTAACTGTATACTTTATAGATATACAGAATGAATATATTTGCTTTTTTTCCCTATTGTGAAGAGTTTTTTTCTTTTAGATAATTTGTCTTGGGGGTATTCTTGTGATAGACTCTCGGCAAAGCAATTTCTGTAGTCTTTTTTTATCAAGTTTGGTTGTCCAAGTGCAGCATATTGTGGTTAACACAGAATTAGATTTATGTAATGATTTTGAGTTCCAGTCTAAAACTGTAGATTGTAGATAATCTAAATGAGTTTTCTTTTCTGGATATTTAGTTTTTGGGTGATGAAGATTACAGGACCTGGACTTCCGGTTCTGGATCGTGGTGCTCACAGCTGTGCGAAGAGACTGCTCTCTTCACCAGCTGGTTCTCTGTTGCCGGTAAACCCTTAATTGGGTCGAAAAGCTGCCCTGGAGGGGCGGCTACTGTTTAGGAGGTCCTCGTCATCCGTGGGAGAGCAGCAGCTTCTTCCACAGCCTGAGACTGTTCCTTTGGGCCAATGGTGGAAACACCGGCCAGTAAAATGGCTGTTCACCTTGCCGCTGTAACCAGAAGTCAGAAGAACATCTAAGCACAGGAACCACCGTGGCTGTACTGGATGAAACTTTTTTCTTTCCCCCTCTTGGTTCTCCTTTTTTTTGTGCCTGTAAAAAGCACCTTTGAAATCATTTCCCTGCTCTGAGAAGGCGGCGTTGATGAGTGTGGGAAAAAGAAGCTTATGGATTGAATTAATTTAAAGTGACTTTTTTTCTCTATTTTAATTTTTTTTATTCACTCTGGGGTCTTAGAAATTTTTTTTTAATATTGAATATTGAATCTACTATTGGACTTTGTTTATATCTGAAGAATTCTCATTTTCTCTGTGTTTTCTGATCTTGTTAATGATATTTCTGATGTCTGGGAGGAGATTTTATATTTTACTGAGGACACCTTGTGGAAAAAGTTAAAATTGCACTGTCTCTTTTTCTGATGGTGAGACTGGCTTTGACCTTCAGATTACCATAAAAAGGAAAAGACAAAGAAATTCAACAGCTGTATTTGTGGGGGTGGATACTGATTAAATGTTCTTTGAACACAGTCTCTACTAAAGATATAGATTGTTTCTAATTATTTTTGAAATGGAGAAACCTAATGTTCAACTTGACTATAAACTTATACTGGAAAAGCTTTATGAAGCTACTGACCAAATACATTTCTAAATAAAAGAGTGTACTATGGCAATAAAAAACAGAAATTTTGCTCTGAATTCACAAATTGACCCCAGACTACATCTGAGTATTTTATAGGCCAAAAAACAACAGAAGCGGAATCAACTAAAATTAAAGAAGATTCTTCTTTACTTTATATGCATGCTGATGAGATCTCTGAGGAACTAAAAAGGACTGTAATTAAATCACTTACAACTTTAAAACCAACAGAAATGAACAGACAAGCTCAACTAACTGAGAACTATGGCAGCTTGGATAAGCAATTATTAACTACAAAGTTGGACATAACTGAGCCTGTTATTCAACAGTTTCAAATGTGGAGACTTGACTCTTTAAAACAACAAGGGATTATTTACAAAGGAGCTAGGTCTTTAAAACAGAAAAGGAGACGTTTTTGTTTGACTCAAAGGATACTACAAGGAATAAAAAGTGACTTGTTCATTGATATAGAGGTGGTGTTATGGAAACCTGCCTGGCATAAAAAGAAAGCTAGAATAAGATTTAAGAGTGTGAGTTAAAGCTCTATATATTGGATTTAAAAGGCTTACTAGATATGGATTGATTTATGGCTTAAGACAGTTAAATAAGATGTTAGATTGAATAAAAATTAATTAAAGGTTTGAATTTAATAAGAAGACGTTCGTCTATATATTAACATGTTTGTTGTGGATATAGTAATTTTGGGAGGAGGTTAAAGGAGTTTGACACAGATATTGAGGGAGTGATAGATTATAAAGTATAGTAAAAATAGAAAGGTATTTTTTTCTTTTGTCTTTGTTTTTTTCTTTCTTTTTTTCTTTGAATTAATATTTTTCTTATTAGAAATGATAGCTATTTTATAATGCAAGAAGAATAAGAAAAAAGAAGAAATGATATTAATAAATGTTTATTGATTATGTTAAGGAAAAAGGGAATGGGAAGACACCTGAAGTGTTAATTATGTATTTAGATTAGCAATATGGAAGATAGTAACTGAAATAGTAAAACTTAATACAGGATTTGGATTTATTTAGATGAAATGGTACTGATTAAGAAAAAAAAAGGAATGATATTAATAAATGAATATTGATTGTGTTAATGAAAAAGGGAATGGAGAGACATCCGAAGTGCTAATTATGTATTTATATTAGCAATATGGAATATAGCAATTGAACTAGTAAAGCTTACTATAGGATTTGGATTTATTCAGATGAAATCTTATTGATGATTGTTTTGACTGACTTATTTGTATTGAAATACATTAACTTGAATATAATATATTACTAGAGGGAATAGAGAGGGATTCTTTTTTTTAACTTTTTTTTAATGATTTAATCTGAACTTCATGAGTATGACTTTGTTTTTGGACAACTTATTGCCCTGCCACCAGGTGATTCTTAAGCACTGGTTTGTAAAATGAAAAAACTAATAAAACTTGTGTTTGTTTTTTTTTAAAAAAGACTACAGGACCTAACTTCTTTAATGGCATTTGTACTTTATAATGAACAGTTTGAAATGTGATTTTTGTATCCTGCTTTTACAGAATTGTATGTGTTTGTATTTATGTATACATTTATACACAGTTTACAAAACTAGGAAAGTTGGAATAATTTAGATAAAGTCTGTATTATTTTAAACTGCTAGAATAAAAAAATAGTTGAGTCATTAAAATAGATGTTTTTTGATTATACTTGCAAATGATAATGATAATATCTTATAAAAATGCTTGCAAAATAAATTAAAATTAACTTATGTCCTTGAATCCAGACAGGCATATTCAAAACAGCTAGCAAAGTAGTCATTCAAATATACATCTACTTTAAGAGCACATTTTGAATACCCACCCACTCACAGATCAGGTTGTCTGCTGCTGAGGAGATCTGTTCCAGGGAGTGATGTGGGATCATGGACAAAATGTTCAGTTAATTGGAATTTGATCTTGAAACACACATATTTTCAGTGTGTTGAGCTGGTATTCAGATCAATTATTTGTTTTTTCTAGATAAATTGGATAGAAGCAGAAAAATGTTCAATCTAAGGTAGGGGTCCTCAAACTTGGCCCTTTTATAACTTGTGGACTTCAACTCCCAGAATTTCTCAGCCAGCGTGCCTGGCTGAGGAATTCTGGGAGTTAAAGTCCACAAGTCATAAAAGGGCCAAGTTTGAAGACCCCTGATCTAAGGTATGACCCAGAATTTACTAAAAGCAAGATGGGTCCCTAATGGTGGGTTCCTAAAGACCCACCTGAAGCAAGACTCTCACATAGACAGATTGACTCATGTAGCATACTGGATATACTCACATTAATGCCATCCCAGGAGAAATCTGTCCGTGTTTGCTATGTAAGAAGAAGATAAAACATTATTAACATACCCAAATTCTCTCCATACCATATTCATTTCATGTAGTAGTTGGCATTATTGCTTCCTCTACCAAGGATTTCAGAGACCAGGGTGCATGCTTTTAGGACAGTAGTTACAATTGTAAGTGTATAGCACAATAAATAAAGATTGAGGAGAGGGAAAAGCAAACTGAGATGTGGTGAGAAAATATAATTATTCTGGGATCGAAGCTGCATGGCATTGAACATAAGTGATACTGTCAGATGTTCATTTAAACAATGAGTTGAAAACTTATTCATAGCAGCAGTAGATGATTAAGTAGCTTTAGATTTATAAAATTGCCTAAAGCTTAGGCACAAAGCTAGCTGGGTGACCTTGGGCCAATTACTTTCTCTCAGTTGTAGGAAGGAGGTAATGGCAAAGAACTTTTAAAAAATTGTGCCAAGAAAATTGCAGGCACTTGTCTAGGAAGTCCCCAAGAATTGGACACAACTGAACAGAACAAGGACAAAGTACTTATAGCAAAATAGCTTCACTTTTCTCCTTTTTACTTATTTTTTTCCATTCTAGCTTTCTTCTTTGTTCATCTTCCCTTAGTTCTGCCAAGATGAAATACTCTTCCTGAAAGCTACCTTCCTTTTATTATTTTCCTTACTCATCCATTTTTTGATGTGGCACTTTACTTATAGAAAAGCTTTCCACCCAATATTTGCTCTACTTTATCTATATATAAATACTTTTGTCTCATCCTTTTCTGTCTAATTGAATTGACTCATCTCTTCAATTCTTCTTTTTAGTTTCCTAGATGCTGTCTCATATATTGTTTCTGAGATTGCATATTGGCAGGAAGACAGTTTAGTATCGTTACTTGATATGGCTTCACATTTCCTCAGAAATACCTCTGATTCTCCAACAATCAGTTGATGGCAATGAAGAGTAAGCAACTTCTGTCACTGTCTTAAGAGTAACTCCTGCAACAGGAGGAAGATGGGATTACTAGCATGATGGAAAGTGCCCAGCAATGTCATTAACTCATCATGGAAGGTCCACGTTGCTTCCTGCATGGATCTGAAGCCACCACCAGTCTATATATAGGATTATAATACATTTCAGCACATTTGAAAACCTTTTCCAGCGCTACGTGTAAATTATCCCAAGCAATGTAGCCCCACCTAAAGTTGCGTTCGCATATGCATGTGAAAACATGGGAATTTAATGCAAATTTAACCAATGAAGTGTGTTGCTAAGTTTGCTTTCAAGCATAGTTTTCCATAGTTGTTTAGTAATGTTTGTCTATTTAATGATTCTAAGATTAAATATTAAATATTTTTATTACAATATGGGTCCTTAAAGAGAAATGTCACACTTTACTCTTAAGAACTTCTGCCCAGTACATCTCAAAGTACAAGAGTTTCTGGTAACAGTACTGCAGAAAATTGCTATCTGACATTGAAAGAAGGTGGTGGTCAAAATAGAGAAAACTAGTCTGGTTTAATTATTGAGCCATTGAGTCTGATTAAAGGCAAAGCTCTGAGTAGCCCAACAATTATATTACAACAGTGGTCCACGAGATGCCAGTAGAAAATTTTAAAATGGAGAAAAATGGAATCACCTGAGCCAATTCTCCTACCATTCAAATGGATATATCACACTGAGTAATCAAAATCCCCTGAAGAGACATTTCAGGAATCACAATTTAAGTAAGCATACATCAAAATACTTCCATCCATTTGCAGGAGTTTCCTAAAAACTAAAATGTCATGCTTGAATAGCATTTATCTATTTAAAAAAGCTCATTAAATTTCATTCCATACAGCCTATTAGATAAATAGGCTACACACAATTATCAAAGAATCAAACAAAGTTATGCAAGAAGGATAATCTACGTGAAGCCATCTACTCTATGCTGATGGATAATGAAAACACATATACACAAAGAGCTAGCCTCTATGTTTTTCCCTAACCCTAATTTCAATACATGGGTCTGAAAAGTTTGAACTTCTTCAGGCACCCTGAGATCTAGTCATGTTTTCTCTCCTGCAATTGATTGGACTTATACAGAGAAACAGATTTTCTCTGTATAAATTATCCAAGTATTGTGGGGAGAGCTACATGATTATAGCAGAAAGAAAAGCATGTAGTGTGTTGTTTTCCGCACTGAAATTCTTTTTGCTTGGTAGTTGGCAGGCTGACCGTTATTTGATTAAAAAGGGAGGACATTTCTGCACTCACATTTTCTATTCCATCATAATCATACTCAATCCAGTCTGGTTCTTAGCTGAGTGCCAGAAGGAAAAAAAATTATTAGAGGCCCCTAGGGGACCAGGGCTAGTCATACTTGATGCACAAGACTTACTACCAAGTCATTAAATGGCCTGAACTGAATAGAGATTCTATAGCAAAAAGAGAAAATTCTCTGCATGATCAAAAGAATACAAGAGGATACTGTATAGAGAACATGTGGTTTTAGTCTTGCCAGTACTCATTGGAGAAATTTCACAGATAAGGATTTGTCCTAGGCCAGTGGTGGCAAACCTATGGCATGTATGCCAGAGGCAACACTCAGAGCCCTCTCTGTGGGCATGGGCGCCGTCACCCTAGTCCCGCCTCCCCCTATGGCCTCCTCCTCACCAGCAGCCCCCCCGGAGAGTTGTCCCCGGGCGCGGCCCATGCAGAGCAGCACAGCCAAGGACATGACAGCCGGACAGCAGGGACAAGACTCGGTCCTCGCATCCCATTGCGTGCAGATGATGTTGCGGAGCGCAGGTGGATGGCGTGGCTGTGGAGGCGATAGGTGGCCCTGCGGGCAGGGGGCAGGGTGGGGGTGGGCAGAGCAGTTTTTGGGTACTTGGTGTCTAAAAGTTTTGCCATCACTCTCCTAAGCTCTTCATGGAATACTGCCAAGATGTTTTTCACAGCTAATAGTTCTAGAATCTTATTGGATTTGAATTTCAAACAATTATTTGGTTTCCTGCCAATCTACATCAAGTCAAAATAAAAATTCAAAAAACTCTACCACTGTCAACAATAAAACACCCCCACCCCTTTTTACTATTTGAAAGATCCTGGATCTTCATCCTGGAACATACTTGTTTCTGTGCTTTTGGTTGGGGAATTCTCTTTGCTGCTGATCCTTGAATGCTCTCTTCTCTATGACATGGAATGAATGCTCACCTCAGTAGATGGTCTATGGATGCTGCTTCCATGGAGTGAGCTGGTGCTGTCCATATTGATCTGGTCCACATCTTTTAGCCCTTTCCAGTCCACAGCAATCACTTCGTTTCCTGAAGCCACACAAAAAGTAATCAGACTTCCTACTTTTGTAGTGATTGCATTCCAAAATTTCCCTGGCCTGGGATGTGCCATAGCTGATACAAAATGTTAATATAAGCAGGAATCTCTGAGAAAGGCAGTCACACATTTCATTAGGATGTCCCCTCGCCCCAAAGAAGATAATATGCTATTGAATCAAACAGTGATCTGACATTTTAAAAAATGTTAGAAGATCAGATGAAATAATATGAATGGCTGAAATATTGTTGAAGGCCAGGAAAATTGCAACATTCATCAACCATTGAAACTGAGTGAAAAGAGACACTTGGATTTCAGTACAGCATAACACCAAGCTTTAAGAAAATGTGTTGTCACTTTAGATTCTTGGTACACTTTTTCACTACAGAAAAATACATTAGAAGTTTAATAAATAAATATTAACTGGCATTTGGGGTACTGATTCAAAAGAATCAAATTCAGTCACTAATATCAAAATTATGAAGGATGATTATCTACAGAGTCGTGGTTCTTAAGCCCTCTGAGTCCCCTCTGAGGACAACTGAAAACTGATGGCCCTGTTTCCTGCTCTTTTTAGATAGAAAACACAAATAAATCATATTGCAAGCTAAAAAAAGATCATAATCTAAAAGAAAAAAGAAACTCCTGAAATACTAAGGAAAAAAACAGTACTACCCAAATGTGTGTTACATTCCCACCCATCCTTATATATGTGGCCCTTGGTCACAAAACTTTGCTCACCCTAATCCAATAATGTACATATGAAATGTAGATGTTGAAAATTTGGGACTAGATTGTTGATAGCTACACTATAAACCTTAAATACCACATGGAGACTAATTTCAAACAGGATTTGTACAGACAGACATTTAAACAGGACTTGTCATTCTTTTCTCCAAGAATCAAGAGCCTCCCTGTTTCACAAACCATTCCCCATAGCCAAAATACATAGATCATTAGATCATGCAGTCATGTATTTTCCTCTCCCCCTCTCATTTTTCAGATAGCTGAAACAGTTCTAGGCATAACAGGATGGGTGTTTTGCACTTTAAATTATACCTAACCAATACTGAACCATCTTAAGAAAATTTACAAAACTGGCTTCTTTTCTTAATCTGATCCTAAATAGTAAAAGTATGTCGTGTGGTACATTAAACATCTCCTCAGGATAATGGGGGTTCTGAAAATGACAATAATGCTAACTATTTTGCTGTAATTATACACAGAGAAAAATTTAAAGCGGATTCAAATCAACAGGGTGTTTCAATTATAAGCACTTAATATGTATTTGAAAGTATTGAGCACTTGCCAGAAAGTGTACCATTAAACATAAATTCATAACAGGGTGTGTACTTCATGATCTTCATGGCAAAATGTTGCCATGACATTCAATGGCACAAGCACAAAAGAGCTAACTTGAATGGAAGGAATGAAGCAATAATAAAAAGAGAACAGGAATTTATAGAATTGAAAAAGAAAATGTGATGAAAAAATTGCTGGATTGCTCTCTGAATTCTGTTTTGACAAGTAAGCAGACAGGGGTTTCAGTTTTGTCTGTGCAAGTACATCAGCACTGCTCACAGTGCACAACACCAAGCTGTTGGCATGTCCAAGCAAAGCAGAAAAGAAAACCTGGAGCGTGGTGCAATATGGCTCTGCTTTGCACACACTAGCACTCCCACTCTGCCTGGATAAGCTAATATCTATGTTAAATCTATGTGAATTGCTGGGGGATGCTAGTTTTGCCCCATGAAAATCAACATTGCCCCCTCAGTCCCCACAACTCATATTCACCTTAGTGTAGTCATAATTATTCTCGTATATTCATTATACTAATTTTTGTTTCCTTTCTTCATGGAGGTCTGAGATAGTTAACTTCCATGATGTTCTTCCATAATATAGTTGGATTTCTGAGTCTTCCACAGTATAATTGGGTTGCTTATATTACCTAATAGACAGATGTATTCAAAAATGATTTGAATAATATCCATACTAAATAGTATGAACATCATGAGGGATGAATTCAAAGATTTTATAGCATAGAGCAGGGGTAGGCAACCCAAAACACTCAGAGAGCCACTTGGACCCGTTTCCCACCAAAAACAAAACACTGGGAGCCGCAAAACCCTTTTGATATCTAAAATGAAGATAACACTGCATAGATCCTTTTTTACATTATATATAACATAAAGGTAAAAAAGGATATATGCATTGTTATCTTCATTTTAGATATCAAAAGGGTCTCTCTCTCTCCCACCCTCTCTCTCTTTCTGCCCTTGGTCTGCCAGTCCCCTTCCCTCACTCTCTTTCTCTCTCTGTCTCTTTCCTCTCTTTCTCTCTCCCTCTCTCTCTCTCTTTCTCTCTCTCTTTCTCCCCCCCCCTCCTGTCTTCTGCTCACCTGACAAGCTGGCTTCAAGCTGTTCTCCAACAAGCTCAGGGGTAGGCAACCTCGGCTCTTTTATGACTCATGGACTTCCAGAATAGCTGGACTAGCTAGCTCTCTCCTGCCCTTCCGGCTTCCTGTTTCCTGCAGAGATGCAGCAAAAGGAGGAGCCCCACCCTAAAAGCTTTTCAGCTCTCTTTTACACACACACACACACACACACCACAAACACACACAAATACAAACACACACACGGAGAGAGAGAGAGAGAGAAACAGGGAAGCACAAGTGCCTCTGTCTGTCGGTCTCTCTCTCCCTCCCCCCCCCTCTCTCTGCAAATAGCAGAGGAGGCTGGGAGCCACAGGGGAAGGCTCAAAGAGCCGCATGTGGCTCCGGAGCTGCAGGTTGTTGACCTGTGGCATAGAGGTTTAGATGTTTTTGGGTTGGGCAGATATATGACGTTCTTTGCCCTGCATGGGAGATCAATGGCGCACTAATCCTCTAAACTAATTGCTGTAATTAATTGGATATGTAGGGTTATGCTTTCATTCTTCTTTATATTTTCACTGACAGTTTTCAATGCATTCTCCAATGGAAGTCTCTAGAGAGTAAATGCCATTGCAAAAAAGGAAAAAGCCCATCTTGGTTGAATGGAGTGCTCTGATGTTGTCCATCTTTGCTACTAGGAGTGCTGTAAAACTGATGCATCAAATATTGCTGATTGTCTCTAGATTTTTTTATAATTCCTTAGCTTGATGCGATTTGACTTTATAGTGACATTTGGACAATAATTTCTGTGTCATAAAATATCTGTAGTGGGATTGCATGCAGCCACGCATAGACTTCATTTCTGTGACATGACCACTACGATGTTGTCTAGAAGAGCACAGTGGCACACAGTCAGTATGCAGCCCTCAACCTTTTCTTTGGCCTAGTAGTTTGACTATTTACATTTGATTATGCATGTCAGTAAATTATTACTTTTACAGTATACAATTTGATGAAATAGTACTTGCAAAGCAATATATTACAAGCTATTTAAAAATATTTAGCAGTATTTACTATAAACTCTATAAACACTTCAGGAAGAAAAAAAGTCTTCTGAATTCCTTATCCAGTTCCTATTGTTCAAGCACAAAAACATCTTTTTTTGAAGAGGTCCTCAAGGGAGTTCTTTTCTAACCAAATTGTGGAATCTATCACAGAAGTTCTATTTATAAAGAATAATTACAAAATACAAATCCCTGTTTTTATATTTTACTCTTACCAGCCAGTCCAAATATTGTGCAGTATAAAATTATTGTTCATCTAGTGATGACTGATTATTATACAATTATACAGGACCCGAAGGCATTCCTGAAAAGCTACAGTTTGAGCCAATTTGATTTTTGGGGGGGGGGGACTGCTGTTCCAGACAAAGGGGTGGGGTGGACAGAAAGTGAGAAGTCCTGTCAGCTCTATAAGGCAAACCAGACTAAAAAACAGACACTGTAGTCATAAAACTACTTTTATTAGAAGAGCTATAGAAACAGTAATGTGCAAGTCTGGATGTGTCTCTCTTCCTCCCCTTTTACCTTTATGTGAATAGTTGAGCAGGGGGGCACTGTATAAGCAAACCACTTCCTTGGGCTTGGCTCAAGCCTCATTTATCATTTTCTAGGCCACAGATCTACCTCTGTCCTTCAAGATCTTCCGCTATAGTCATTACAAGGCCCTGCTCCATACTCCCTGTAGATCAGACAAACACAAGGCCCGGGGGCCAGATGCGGCCCGCGAAGTGGTTTCATGTGGCCCCCGAAGCCATCCTGGAAACAATGAGCAAACGGCCCCCTTTGCCTTAGCCCTGGCCCAGGCCAGCTGGAAGCCAATGTACAATTTTGTGGTGGCCATCTATGCATTCAGTCTTAGCTTCACAAAGCTGTCTGGAAACAACGAGGAACCAGGAGAACCTTGAGCAGCAGCCTTGAGGAAGTGGGGCTGGGCTTGGTGCTGCGGGTGCTCAAGGGCCTGGCTGGGCATTTGACCTCTGCTGCCCAGGGCTCTGGGCAGCCCACACCACCATCCAGCCCTCCCGCATGGCCTGAGAGGAACAGTGAGGCTCCTCCAGTGGACCATGCCTTGGCACTTGCCCTGGTCCCACCCCCTTCTGCCAGAAACCCTCAGATCTGTTCCACTCCTGCCCAGGCCCCCACAGTCACCCTTGACGTGAATGATGTAGAGCTGGCCACGCCCACCCAGTAGGCCACACTCACTCCATCCACGCCCACCCAGAAAGCTGCACCCACCCTGGCCACACCCACCTGGCCCCCTGAGGGCAACCACAATGCTGATGCAGCCCTCAATGAAATTGAGTTTGATACCCCTGCTGTAGATGATGCTCCCTCAGCAAAGGAGCCAGAGTGAATGATCGCTTCAAGATCTTAATGGATGGACAGAACTACTGGGAATAAGTAATCCTGAATCACAGAGGTCTTTAAAGGTGTTAGAGAATTTTAATTTCTCTGTTGGTGAAAAATAAATCAGAAGCTCTCACAGTTGACTGCATTTAGCTGATTCAAAATAACTTCTTTATATTTATATCAAAATATTTACAATACAATACATTCTTCT